AGTTTAATTAAGTAGTGTCTAGTGTGAACAGTGCAGGGTGTAGTTTGAGGTACGCAGTGTCTAGTGTGTTGTGTGTACTGTGCCATGTGTAGAGTATAACCAGTCAGTCCATAAAGCTAGATATAGTGTCAGGAAATAATCCTGCGTTTTCTTCGTCCCATCCCGTCCCTCCGCCCCAACCGCCTCTCCCGCTACCATACTGCTGGGGATAACAGTGATTAACAGGGCTTCTGGGTACGCTGTGAAAGACTGTAAACTTTGAAACGATGGATGGTATTAGTTCAGGCCATCGGTTCTACTGACGTGTATGATGGATAAATCCATTGTGTATTTACAAGTGGGAAAATTGCGTAAGAATGCCATTTGATGTGGATTAATCAATAGTATATGGAAAAGAAGACTATATTTTCAATTACTTCTGGAATGTACAGATCGTTTGGGGCATAGACAGGTGTGACGTTGCTCCCGTGCAAGTGGAGACAGGTCGATAGGATGACGTGTCTTCCGAAAATACTGACAGGTCATATCACTGTTCAGTTCTTTGTCGTACGCGGTCTCGAAGGACAAAGCTTGTAGGTTATCATGACAGAAATCCTGCAGTGTTGCAACGTTTTATATGACACATTAACACGCATGGTTTAATATACAAGCAAGATTGGCTGGATATCTATTGTTCGGTTAGGGACAACAGTGGGTGAATACACATAGGCATGTTGTACATTATCCGAGTGTTTAGCGATCCGTTCTTGACACAGTGTAGTAAAACGAGAGAACGAATATATGAACCTGAAGTTACTTTGAAGGCCTCATTAGCGTTCACTCAGCAGCTGTTGTTTTGGATTTCCTGATCAGTGGATCGAGATAATTCTTGAAAAAGTCTATCCTCTTGCAGATGTAGGGATGGCTCTCAATGTGTGTGAGTGAGTGTGTGTGTGTGAGAGAGAGAGAGAGAGAGAGAAAGAGAGATAGAGTGTGGAAGGAATTGATAGAAGTTGCTTTTCTTGTCTTGATACTAAATCTACTACCCTTTAATAAGTATTGCCCTCCTCTACCATTTGGCATACAGTTCACTTAGCCAATCAGTGAGTTGTGGTCACTAATCTTCCAACTGGCAGGACCATATGTCACGGTGAAGAACAGTATTTGGACAATCAATCAAGCATAAATGTTAATCCCCTTATGCTGCTGGGTGAACGAAAAGAACCCGTTTGGAGTCATTAGTTATTATCAGGTTGTCTGTGAAAACTGCTCTTTCACATCATGTGTGAACCCAGGACGCACGTGGAATGTCACGACAGCTAGATCGATTTCATGGACAGATAAACAATGAATATCAATACATCCAAATCCAGTTTGAGTTTCCGATTGTCACAGCAACCCTCGTGATCGTGATGCTGCGTCATATAACTGTTACTATGTCGTGTGAAACATTGCTGGCAGCACCGGTGCGACGTCCTCTAACACATTGGGGGGGACGAGTTGGTACAGTCGTCTGAGCTACGTCCATTAGAAACCTGTGGTGGTGGGTTTGACTCCAATATATATATATATTTTCCCTGGTTATATTTTTGCTCATTCCCTTGTATAATATTGACATGGTACAGATACTTTTCTAGGAACTTCAGCTAGTTCTCGACAAAAAGTTAATAAATAAACAGAAAATATAAGTAATGTTTTTACAAGTTTAGGCAAAAACTGTTTCTCACTGTTTACTGAAATTGAAATTTTACTGAAATATGTGTGTATGGCAATTGAAACATGGAGATTGTCTACTTCAAGCGTAAGGCAGTATCACATATCCAGCCTGTTTTGAAAACTACTGCAACCTATCATGAGTATCGTAACAATTTGCTTTACCCGTGATTTTGGTTAGGATGCACAGTGGTTTGGAACACTAATACTATTTTCTATTCTGCTTTTGTTAACTCATAAGAACCATTTAGGTAAGGCAAGAGCACCAGTTCAGTGTATGTGGCATTAAAGCTAACCTCAGATATATTTTCATGGGTTTACTAGTTCAAAGTGCGGTCGTAACGGTGATCTACGTTGAACTCCGCTTAATTACATCTAACTACGTTTAACTAAGGTCAGCTACGGTCTACTACGTTCATCCAGCACTACGGTCAACTACATGTACGAGATATTAATAAAAGATATATATTCTGATAAATATGATAATGAATCCCTATCAGCCTGTACACCAACAAGAAGGCCCCTACTCTTGACACTTCCTAGATGTACCCAAGCCAACCTGAACCCCTTCAGTTACCTGGTATGTTTTGCTGTAACACTGGATGCGTGATATTCAAACCGAAATACCGTAGTTAGGTTAACTATACATGTACGCGAACATGGAAGCAATACATTGGGTTGAAGCACGTGTTTATTGTAATAAAACGGAAATAGCTGCACAATACAGAATAAAAATCATCAATGATTAAGGAGAAAACACTGTTGTCAAATTTCTGTCAACTAGGTCCTTAAAATGTGAACAACAAATATATAAACATCAACAATAGCAAAGTATCGGAATAATGACGAGAGTGAAATATCACCGTATGATAAGCTTCCATTGATATACTGATTGCCCATTGACAATGTGGTGAATACATGTTACAGTCAGATTGTGAAATGACATTTCGTGAAATGAATAAGATGTCGCCAGTCTTTAGTCTTTTTTATCACTCATCCACACTACCAGCATGTCCTTTATGTCGCCATTTGCCCTTTCAACTGATCCTTGCTTTTGGGCATGGCTTGGCGTACCATGTACTCGTGCTAGTTCTAGCCAGACGAGTTGAATTTTGTCATAACATGAGACGTGAACCCTGATCCATTATCAGATTGGAGGGGGTCTCTGGGGCACCTATCGTCAAGAAAATTTCAACTAAACGAAACGCTACTTCAGCAGCCCTTTTAGTTGTCTGTGGTCTCAATAGGCAAAACTTAGTTAAGTGATCCTGATATACTGCTATCCAGCGACATGGCTGACACTCTTAGTCTTTTCACGAAATTACTGAATTTTTTGGTCATTCCACGAAATGACTGATTTCACAATCTGACTGTAACATATATTCGAAATAGCTCCACAATCTGCCTGTGATAGTGTAGCAAACTTGGCATCAGGGCTGATGTGAATCATCCATCACAGCGATAGTTACATACTGGACACAAACCATGAAGCGTTAGAGTGGAACTTTGGAGTCCTGGACATGCTATAAGTACATCCATATGGCACATGAGATATATATGTGTGGAAAACACATGAGTAACTGTTTACAAACTTAACCTAAAATATCGCTCCCTCAAAAGTATGTTCTTCCAATCTCATTCAAGTTCATTAAGAGGTTAACATAATTGTCAGGATTCAAGTAATGAAAGTGAAACTTTGGTAGAAAGAACTAATGATCACTGATAGTTTGTGTAACAAGGGGAAGTTGAAAACCCAATAGAACGGACTTCTTAAAGTAACACGAGAAGAATTACTGCCACGATATAAGTATGAATTAACAAACTCACTCATTCTATAATGGAAAATAAGAAATATGCCTGACTTTAAGGAAAAAGTAAATCGTGGATTTGCAATTTAGAGAAACAAGCAAAGCGTCAGTTTACATACATTTGTATATCAAATATAAGCTATGACAAAACCAAAATCAAATAAAGGGTCAGCCATTATAGATATCTGCATTTCTGATTAAATATGGATAGTTTACATATGTTAATTGCTATCAGACCGGCGTTAGTGGCGCATATGTTAACTCTGGATGGTTGATGGTGTGCGTCTTGTATGCTGTCTTGTTTCATCAATACTCATGAAACACGACCTTGACTGAGTGACTCGTCTCACCAATACTCGTGAAACACGACCTTGACTGACTGATTCGTCTCACCAATACTCGTGAAACATGACCTTGACTGACTGACTCGTCTCACCAATACGCGTGAAACACGACTTTGACTGACTGATTCGTCTCACCAATACTCGTGAAACACCACCTTGACTGACTGACTCGTCTCATCAATATTCGTGAAACACAATCTTGATTGACTGGTCTCAAGAAAATGTCAATGCAACAGAATAATAAGTCTGTATCATCAGATGGTGCGTGAGTAACAATTCATCCCGCATGTAACAATATTCCAGCAATATCGCGGCGGGGGGACACCAGAAATGGGCTTCACGCATTGTACCTATGTGGGGAATCGAATCCGGGTCGTCTAAGTGACGAGTGAATGCTTCAACCACTAAGCTCCTCGACCGCCCCCTATCATCAATGAATAGATAGCTGAAAAACTTATCACATTATAGGCGGTAAACAACCGTTTTCTGGACCAGACATCCAGTATTAGCCACTCCAGCAACATTACAGCGCATTTACGGATTGCTTAAAATTCAAACAATACGTTAACTTGTCCAATGAACAAATGCAGAAATTCTGCTGCTAATAAGAAAAGTGAAAAGCTAAAAAAAAACTATTTCTACGTGGCAGTTTGTGGCAGCAACACCGGGAAACAGTCGACTCTGGAGGCAGCCATCAGACAGGAAAACACATCTTGTCCTCCTGAAAGAATTAGAATGTTATGTATTTACATAAACCAAAAATAAAGGTCTCAGGCATGGATGTAACTCATATACAGACTGATTCGTGCTTTACGTCGCTTTAACATTCCTTTAAAGTCGTGTAAGCCCAGTATGGGAGGATCGTCGCTGGCTCTGTTGTTAAACGGGTTTGGTTTTAGGTTTTAAGACAAAGTATGGCCGCAGCGCTCAAATTTACATAAGAATGTATTAGCGTCACTACTTACACCAACTATCAAATGTGGATTACTGAATCGTTGATACACGTCTAAAACGATAAATTTAAGCACAATTCCGACAGGTACTGCAAAATTAAAGACACTCCCATTTGTCAATGTCCAACCAAAATGACTCATTTTGAGTTACTTTCAAACAGTGGTAAAATACAGTATTTCATTCACACATACTGTCACCTTACCCTAGGCCACTTGAAAGTTGAGGTCAAAGCCTCTCCCAGTGACGCTGCCATCAGTTCTGAAGTCAACCACGATGTCACCACTGGTGTAGGGGACTGCAACAGTTGAAAACATGTTCACCTTGATAAGTTCCACACTTGGGCTGATTTAATTAAAGCAACATCATATTTGACTATCTCTCTTTTGAAGCAGGGTTGATATTGTCCTGTTCTTATATTTACACGGACAGCAGTGAGGTTAACACTTATTCTGTACAATGTACACACGGAGTACTTTCCTTATTTTACAGTCACACTGTTAGCAAAAGCAAAATAATTAATGCATTTAACAGGTATGATCTGCAGGTACAAACGTGAAAAGAAATCCCGTACTCAGAAACGAACTACGTACAGTTTAGAGTGAGTCCAGCTCTGTTGCGACCACAGTACTTGTTAGAGTCGACTCCGTTCACCCGGAATACTAGAGAGTCGTAGCTGCAGGAGGACTGATTCTCGATGTCGAAGTCTGTGAAGGTGACGTTGAACGTCTGTCCAGCCCCAGGTCTGATGGTCACCTGGCATCGGACGTTGTTGTTGTAGGTGGCGGTGGCTGGGTAGTAGATGCGACCCGTGGAAGACGTCAAGGTAGTGCCACAGATGCCTGGACAAGAAACCGTTTGTTGGTTTGATGAACTTCAATGAAACCTTAAGGCACACTTCCGTCTATGCTTTCTCTTAAGTGACAAATTGCAATGGCCATAGGCAAAGAAGAGTAGAGTATAACCTAAGGTGACCATGTACTTGAGACTGCTATTATAATGTTGTAGTTATTTGTGTCCACTTAATGTGCTGTCAAAGGGTTTCAGATGTGACTCAACTATAAGTTTAATGAAGACTAAACTACACACGTTATGTACATCTACAAGATTTATTTTCATACTTTTTCACTAGGATGGATTAGAACGACGTCGTTATTATAAAATTACAACGGTGACAGCTGCAACACATTAACAAGACTCATCCTGCCTGCAGAGATTCAGGAAGTAAATTCAGTAAGTGCTACACCCATTTTGTACTGTACCAGTCTTGCGAATGTTTACAAGAGATGAAAACTCAGACCCAGATGATCACGGCCCTTAGGGACATTGTCAAGGTCATCACTCACCGTTGTTTGATGGAACCGTGCTGGGAGGGATGGTGCTTGCTGCATTAATGACTGAAATTTGAACAATGAGCAATTTCTAATTTGTTCATAACTTAGTCAACGAAAACCTTCACTTTGTCGCTCTGACCAACGACTTGCAGAAGGTGTTTTTGTACTGTTGATCTTCAGAAGCAAAGGTCATGAAGAGGAACAGTTTGAATGTAAAAGACACAAAGTGCTAAACAAACCATCTCTTTTCATGAATTCAAAAACGTTTCATTTCGATTATCGCAGCTTTTGAGACAAACGCTTTGCGACGAATAGTTCAACGTGTTTGATCATTGAAAGTCACGAACAATGGTGATTAACAACATATGTAGAAATATTTCAAAGTTGATAACGAAAGTCGATCAAAATATTGTTCTTATCATGATGCCGATTACATGGGTGTCATTACTTTACAGGAGGACGTGTGTCATGCATATCATGCACATTCAAGCTGTATCCAGTCCCTTCTTACTCCAAGGACAATGCATGTCATGTGTCATGATAACCGTTAATAAGGAAAAGGGGAGACGGGGTAGCCTAGTGGTTAAAGCGTTGGCTCGTCACGCCGAAGACCCGGGTTCGAATCCCCACATGGGTACAATGTGTGAAGCCCATTTCTGGCGTTCCCCGCCGTGATGTTGCTGGAATATTGCTAAAACGGCGTAAAACCAAACTCAGTCAGTTAATTATGAAAATGTATGTGTATAATATGTCCATATAGTCCCTGTGGTACAAAATATCAAATGAAATTAAAACGAACGGGGAACAAAATGGTGTACATGTTGAAAGCATTTAGTCTACAAAATGTTTCTATCATTTTCTGACAGAGAGATGCTCTAATGCACAGCAGGAAGTAAGTTCAAATACAGAGTGGTGTCAGAATACACATGATACCTACCATCGCTGATCTGGTAGGTGGCTACGAAGCCACGGCGAGTCACAGATCCGTCAGTGTAGAAGGTGACACGGTACTGGCTATACATAGTGTCAGTATCTGGAATTTCACACAGGAATACATCACAAACAAAGTTGTAGAACATAGAGATGGTTGCTCACTTGATATATAGTCCATGGTATCAAATGCTAACCAACTTTGCTGCCAGGGTAGATTTTGAATAAATATTTAAGACAACAAGTGATGCCAGTAGCTGACTGTCAGATATGTTTCTTCAGTTGTATCAATGAAAGGAATATACATTGTTGCATAAATATTGATTCCTTGGTATTTGATGGGCAACATAAGCAATGCGGTTTGTGGTTCATCGTTTGGCCACTCCCACTAACAAAGTACTGTTTCCTCAATGGCTGATAATGTGAATTGGCGGAGCATGCGTTGCATAGTAATACGACATCGCTGTCTACTTAATGCATGCATGTTTTTGTTAATAATTCCAACTAACGTTTCTGGAGTTGGTATTGTTCAGAAACTTAAATACCAGCATGCACACTTTAATATGACTTACATCATGCGTACCGGGTGTTATTTTGCAGCTCCGTACACAAAGCACATACATGGCATATGACCTTAACGTCTTAAATAAATACTGTAATACAGCTGTAATCTTGTACATAAGATCACGTGTAGCAGTTGAATCCTGATGTTGAACAGCTAGATAATTGGCCTCGTAGCAACTCATGAAGTTTAAGGTGATATGCGAGCAAAGTGTTTAGATTGGAGGGGTAGAGATCAGTGTACTGGAATCTAAGACAACCGCATGAGGTCACAACAGGATATTATTGAGATTGTATAGATGTCACAGCCACCTTTGACAGCTCACGCTTGGTATGGTTTCCGTTTTGATTGTCTAAAACAGGAATGATTCACTGACTCCTTTATACAAGTAATCCATGACTATGGCAGCTTTACAGTCGCCCTGTGAGACGGACCTATCAGCTCTAGCGGTTAATCTAAACCTCTCCGTTATCTAATGTATGTTCAAGGAATAATAAGATGTCAATGTCTGAGAACAGCCGGTCGTGACTATACCGTTGTGCAAAAGGGCAAAATAGCTGAGAAAATGATAACGCATCACTGACAAGTAAAGACCTTCTTTAAACCTTCTTTAAACATTTGATCCGCAATGATCTGGAGAACTTACACACGAGATTGGAGATCGTTCCACATTTCTTGATGCCGCTGTTAAACTGGACGTAGTCATATCTGCAGGTGGAATGACTTTCGAGCTGGAAGGTTGTGAAGGTGAAGGTAATGGTTCTCGGGTAGGATGTCGCTGTGAACGTGTAGTAGCACCGGGTGTTGTCCAAGTAGTTGCTGCCGCCACCTGGGGGACTCATGATGGTGCCAGATGATGACGACAAGGTTGCCGTGCATGTCGCTGGAACAATAGATGAATTGATTCAATAATTGATGTTTGCTTAAACCAACAGTCTAAATTTCCCTGCATATATTTTAAAACATCATTGTGACAGTAAACAGTGACCTTACCTGTACTGCTGGGAGCGGGCGTTGTAGCGTTTGGAGCTGAAACACACGAATGCCTCATTTGAGAACAAGACTACCTCGCATCTCTTCAAATAACCATACTGTCTCGATCAAACAATTTACCACCTTATCTCTAATATTTCAATAATTGAATAATGATCGGATATCATGGAGTGGAGTCCTGAACATGTTGTATATAGAAGTTCGATCCTCTGTACATACCGTCACTGACAACGTAGTTAGCTACAAAACCATCGGAGGTGACACTTCCATCTGTTCGGAATTCAACCGTAAAGTTCCCAACAAAGGTATCTGTAAAATAATAAGAAAATGAGTCTGAGCCAATATAATCATGATAATTTTTCTATGACATTTAATATGAACAAATGTTTCATAAAGTTGTTGACTAAGAAACTATTTGGAATATCTATATATAACATGTGTAATTGACTTACAAAGTCGAAACCCGTGACGACTACGGATTGTAAAGAGATTAGACCCTTGAACAGATCGACACTACATCTGAAGTAACGATAACCAGCAAGGTATGTATATTCATCACAGTACGTACAGGTCCTGGTGAATTCCGTGAAGCCACATCTCTTGTTCCCACCGTTGATGATGACCCAGTCCCATCTGCAGCTAGCGTGGTTTTCCACAGCAAAGCTGGTGAAGTCCAGACTTATAGACTGGGTCTGTCCGCTTCCCACAAACGTGTAGCGGCAGTAGACGTTGTTGGGGTAGTTGTGGGGGGAGTTTGGACTACGAAGCTGGCCGCTGGCTGCGGTGAACGTCGCATTACAGTTGGCTGAAATACAGAATGACAAAAGTACGTCAGCATGACAACCACCAGAGTAGCTATGGCTACAGAACAACTGAACATATCCTCACACACATCACACTATTGTTATCATGATTATTTATATTACACCTTCATCGATGCAAAAACTACATTATCCTAATACATAAGGGCGCACGGGTAGCAGGTCGTAACACGCTCTGCAGAGTTGCTTCCCTTGTATATCCAGTGATGTACGATCGCTGGTTCGAACACCAGTTTGCCCCGATTTTGTTTCAAGGATTTTCAGCACCATACCGGTGCAAATTGATTTCAACAAAGTGAATGTCTGAAACCTGAATCACTTGGGGGTTTCCTCTTCAATCAAGGTAACAAGCCTTGATGTCTTCTTTCGGAATCATTTAGAACTTGGAGTAGTAAGGAAGGATAACAATGATCAACTTCTTTATTGTGTAAGACAGAGGTTGTTCATCTGTAAATTGTTATTTTTCCTTATTACATAATAAAGAAGTTGTTCATCCGTAGATTGTTATCCTTCCTTATTACATAATAAACAAGTTGTTCATCCATAGATTGTTATCCTTCCTTCTTACAAGCTAAAGAAGTTGTTCATCCGTAGATTGTTATCCTTCCTTATCACTTATTAAAGAAACTGTTCATCCGTAGATTGTTATCTTTCCTTATTACATAATAAAGAAGTTGTTCATCCATAGATTGTTATCCTTCCTTAGTACATAATAAACAAGTTGTTCATCCGTAGATTGTAATCTTTCCTTATTACATAATAAAGAAGTTGTTCATCCGTAGATTGTTATCTTTCCTTATTACATAATAAAGAAGTTGTTCATCCATAGATTGTTATCCTTCCTTAGTACATAATAAACAAGTTGTTCATCCGTAGATTGTAATCTTTCCTTATTACATAATAAAGAAGTTGTTCATCCGTAGATTGTCATCCTTCCTTATTACAAGCTAAAGAAGTTGTTCATCCGTAGATTGTTATCCTTCCTTATCACTTATTAAAGAAACTGTTCATCAGTAGATTGTTATTTTTCCTTATTACATAATAAAGAAGTTGTTCATCCATAGATTGTTATCCTTCCTTATCACTTATTAAAGAAACTGTTCATCCGTAGATTGTTATCTTTCCTTATTACATAATAAAGAAGTTGTTCATCCGTAGATTGTTATCCTTCCTTATTACATAATAAAGAAGTTGTTCATCCGTAGATTGTTATCCTTCCTTATTACATAATAAAGAAACTGTTCATCCGTAGATTGTTATCCTTCCTTATTACAAGCTAAAGAAGTTGTTCATCCCTAGATTGTTATCCTTCCTTATTACATAATAAAGAAACTTTTCATCCGTAGATTGTTATCCTTCCTTATTACATAATAAAGAAGTTGTTCAACCGTAGATTGTTATCCTTCCTTATTACATAATAAAGAAGTTGTTCATCCGTAGATTGTTTTCCTTCTTCACGGCTTGATATAGCTGGAATTGTGGTGAAACCAGCGTTACCCGAACCCACTCACTACGTCATAATTCTATTGCACGCTTCATTTTAATAAGCTCATGTTTTTTACACGTGATCGTCAGCTGAGAAAACATGTTACCTCAATACAGGTCCCCGATAAGTAGGTGTGGCGACATTGTTGTTATTGCCATTTCGGCAATGTTCCAACTATGGCACTGCGGCTGCTAGCTACTCGAGTCGGAACCAAGCAAACCAATGGACGAGAGCTTGAGCAACTACCTGAACGGTTTTTTGACGATGACACAAATATGCTAGACAGCAAATCTAATAAAACTAGCCTTACCCGACTTTCTGGTAATGCTATTCCAAGCATAATATTCTATAATGCTTCAAAACAAAACCAATATACTAAAGTGGGTATCTATTTGAAGAAACATCGTCACAAGACCTGCTGTCGGCGTGTCGACGGTGTCATGTTTACAAGATTGTGTTATGCGAACGTACGTATTGGCGGCCTCGTTGTTGTTGTAGTTGTTGCCATGGTTGTGGTGGTTGGGGGGAACATCTGAAAAAAACATCATCAAAGAGGTGTAAATAGCTTTCGAAATGAGAATCTGATCTTCTTTGGAAGATGCATCGACATCGTCACATTTCAACCTACATTTGTCTGTGAAGTATAAAAAAGTTAACACTTTATAATATTAGTAATACATTTATATTACTACCTAAACATTTCCATAATCATATTCTACCTGCGTGTCAATACAATTAAGCCCCAACTTCAAGGTATAAAGATCACTGAACTTCTTTGAAAATCCCTTGAATACACCGTTCATAATACTGTTCAGAAGTAAGCAGGCAACTAATGTGCGTGCCTTTACACTGGGGTAATATTTTAAAGAGCAACCACTTACACGGCAACCTTCTGTAGGTGATAACAAATCCTCTCCTGGTAACGCTGCCATCTGTCTTGAAGTACAAGGTGAAGGTGTTTGTGAACGTATCTGTGGACGAAATGGTATCGATACTTTGAGAAAGGCTTCTAAATATATTCATTTTCATAGAACCTAGGAATGGTAACCGAGTAATTGAAGCGTTCACGCGTCACGCTGAAAAGACCCTGGTTCGATTCCCAACATGGGTACAATAATTGAAGACCAGCCCCTGTGATATTGCTGGAAATATAAAAGTGCCATAAAACTTTATACACACTCACGCAAACAGCATGCAAAGTTCTCCTCTACACTCATATGATAAGCTGCAGTTGGTGTTGTAGATTTTTAAGTTAAAAACTGTAAACACCAAATCCGAACAAAATATAGTGTAACTCTCACATGTGAGAACCCTGCCGGTGGACAGAGATGATCCGCAGTACTTCCTGCTGGAGGTCGAACCCAACTGTAACGAGTCGTAGTAGCAGCTGGAGTGATACTCGAGGGAGAAGGTCTGTACGGTGAACTGCAGAGTCTGCCGGGTGGAGTTGCCCTGTACAGTGTACGTACAGTAGGCGTTGTTGGGGTAGTAGGAGCCATCCCCTGGGGTGCTCTCTATGATGCCCTCGTCTGTTGTGTACGTCCGGTTACAGCTGACTGGACACACACAGAACGTTCACATATCATACAACGTTCCCATATCATACAACGTTCACATAACATACAACGTTCACATAACATACAACGTTCACATAACACAGAACGTTCACATAACATACAACGTTCACATAACATACAGCTTTCATATAACATACAACGTTCACATATCATACAACCTTCACATATCGTACAACGTTCACATATCATGCAACGTTCACATAACATACAACGTTCACATAACATACAACGTTCACATAACACACAACGTTCACATAACACAGAACGTTCACATAACACAGAACGTTCACATAACATACAACGTTCACATAACATACAGCTTTCATATAACATACAACGTTCACATATCATACAACGTTCACATATCATACAACGTTCACATATCATGCAACGTCCACATAACATACAACGTTCACATAACACACAACGTTCACATAACACAGAACCTTCACATAACACAGAACGTTCACATATCATACAACGTTCACATAACACAGAAGGTTCACATAACATACGACGTTCAAATAACACAGAACGTTCACATAAAACAGAAGGTTCACATAACATACGACGTTCAAATCACACAGAATGTTCACATAACATACAACGTTCACACAACACAGGACGTTCACATAACACAGAACGTTCACATGACATACAACGTTCACACAACACAGAACGTTCACATGACATACAACGTTCACACAACACAGAACGTTCACATAACAAAGTACAATTAAGAAATGTGTATTGCACATGGATTCAAATATGTTTTTCAAATATGACCATTCTGGACGTAGGGCCGCATTTCTTGACATTTCTAACAAGCCATTATCCTGTTGTGCTTCTTGACATTTCTAACAAGCCATTATCCTGTTGTGCTTCTTCAAAACTACATCGCAGATAAAAAAGATGATGGTGTATCCAGTTGCACGTACCTGGTAGTTTTGCGTATATTGCATTGAATCCACTCCGTACTTCACGACCATCGGTTACAAAGGATACGTTGAAATCACCACTCGACACAGTGTCTGAAATCAGAAATTGATGACTAGTGTATAAGAGACTGTGATTTAAACGATAGTAGTTTTAGCAATATTCAAGGGTACACCAGAAATGGACTTCACCCACCGTATCCATATGGATCTTCGGCGTGACGAGCAAACGGTTTGACCTCTAGGCTATCCAACCGCCTCAAATCGGTAACTCAATACGACTACATGTATGTGAGTACTAACCGGGGACTATTTATCCCCGGTCCCGACAACCACGTCCCTAAATTCACGTTATACTGCGAACATTCTTCGATAGCTATATTTGCAGAAAGACGTTTGTCATTGTTTATCAACAATATTGTGACGAATCAAATATCGCCAATAACTCGCGAATACCCCGATATTGCGGAATTCTGTGAAAACGCCAATGCTTGTCAGTACTCTCTGATGAGATCAGGTTAAATATCATTCTAAACTGTGAATCGTTTACAGATAGTGTAGGATGAAAATAAGCACTTATTTGTAAAATATTCCTACTATTATCATGGTATTCAACAATAATCATATTTGAAATTAACACTTTTTTTTATAAACATCCAGTGTGAAATGTGTCTTGTACAGTTCACCCGGAATAGGTATTTCTGTAATATATGATAAACTCAGGTCTATTAATGAAATCTTGGCTATATATTTTGACATGTACGTAGGAAAGGAATCTTTAAATACATTGCCCGTTTCAAATTGAAAACGGTCATGTATATCTACAATGTGTTATGTCCAGGTGGGACCACTAAAGACTTACACCTGAGTGAGCGAGGTCCTGTATATCTACAATGTGTTATGTCCTGGTGGGACCACTAAAGACTTACACCTGAGTGAGCGAGGTCCTGTATATCTACAATGTGTCCAGGTGGGACCATGTCACGTGAGGCGAGGGTACCACTAAAGACTTACACGTGAGTGAGCGAGGTCCTGTATATCTACAATGTGTTATGTCCAGGTGGGACCAATAAAGACTTACACCTGAGTGAGCGAGGTCCTGTATATCTACAATGTGTTATGTCCAGGTGGGACCACTAAAGACTTACACGTGAGTGAGCGAGGTCCTGTATATCTACAATGTGTTATGTCCAGGTGGGACCACTAAAGACTTACACCTGAGTGAGCGAGGTCCTGTATATCTACAATGTGTTATGTCCAGGTGGGACCACTAAAGACTTACACCTGAGTGAGGGAGGTCCTGTATATCTACAATGTGTTATGTCCAGGTGGGACCACTAAAGACTTACACCTGAGTGAGCGAGGTCCTGTATATCTACAATGTGTTATGTCCAGGTGGGACCACTAAAGACTTACACCTGAGTGAGCGAGGTCCTGTATATCTACAATGTGTTATGTCCAGGTGGGACCACTTAAGACTTACACCTGAGTGAGCGAGGTCCTGTATATCTACAATGTGTTATGTCCAGGTGGGACCACTAAAGACTTACACCTGAGTGAGCGAGGTCCTGTATATCTACAATGTGTTATGTCCAGGTGGGACCACTAAAGACTTACACCTGAGTGAGCGAGGTCCTGTATATCTGCAATGTGTTATGTCCAGGTGGGACCACTAAAGACTTACACCTGAGTGAGCGAGGTCCTGTATATCTACAATGTGTTATGTCCAGGTGGGACCACTAAAGACTTCACACCTGAGTGAGCGAGGACCTGTGTCGAGGTGATGAAGTTGAGGATGAGGATGTATGGTGGTGAACTACCGCCACTGATGGTGCAGGAGTTGCAGATCAGATCGTTCATGTAGTTATAAATTCGAGATAAAACAGTTTAGCAGCAAATGAACCCGTGTCCGTTATACGAAATCTTCAGATTGCAGTTTGCTGTGTGTCAATAAACATTTCATGGATTAGTTCATTCCTGCAATACAGTTGTTAGGATCATATGACAGAAATTCAAGATTCAGTATAACAACGATAACAATACTCATTTACCCTCTTATGATCTTTTGCGTAAAAGTTGCAGAAAGTATTACAAAGTGAGTTAAGATACCATGGAGACTGGCATAGGTTAAATCATACATACCCGGCAGTATATTGTAGTACAAGCTGAATGACGGTCGTTTCTGCATCCAGCCATTACGCAACAGAGTTATCATTGAAGTCGCCATCATATAAGGGGTCTGGTGGGAAAAATGATAGTTTCAGCATGGGAATATTGATCAAATTCATTTTCCCTCGGGATATATTGAAAGTTAAACGCATTGTTTGCCTTTACTTTTAAGAGCATGTTGAGTCCACAGAACAAAACTTTTTGCATACATTTCCAACCCTAGTTTTCTAGTATACAGTATGTAGTTTATGTAAGGTATATTCATATTCCGTTGGGTTATCGTAGGAATCTATCCTAAGTAGAACACTTTCGTTGTAATATGATTTGTGCAATTGCTACCACGAATGAACGTTCAAGAACAAGACTATAATGATGATGAATATATGTTAGAGAATGACCCTGGGAGCTATGAGGAATAACGAGATATTGTCCCAGGTGAATAAATGATTCCCTGATCTTTGACGTGATACTGCACGAGATGGCATAATGTCATCCATTTGTTGCGTCATAAAAATTTAATCAAATACCAATGATCACATGCTCTTAAAATGAAGTAGGTGACATGTTATCGCTTCCAAAGATCAGACAAGAGGGAATGAGTATGTAACATATGATATATTTAGGAGTTACACTTTCTCAGTAAAGTACAGATTCTAGTACCTTTTGGGTTGAGTCCCATCTGGGATTCAGGAAACCCACACCCTCAGAGTCAGGCACCTAATCGCCAAAGCACACAAAGTCAGACGCTAAGACCGCCTCCAGCCAGCGCGGCTTCCAATGAGTAAGTATAGTGTTACACGCCGGTTTTAGCAATATATGTACCATCCAGCAAAATCACGGCGAGGAAAACCAAGATGGAAACAAGAACCTTTGCACAAGTACATAGAACAGAGACCAGCATGTCTCTATTTGAACACCGCAGATTCATTTGTCCGAACACTACGCATTAACACCACATATAAACCACTAGTTTAACCTGTTCGAGTAAAATATTAGAGCTTAGATTATGTGTTGCTATTGCGGTAATACCAGAACCTACATGTCATCTCGGTGCTATACGCTCCGATGCCGACACATCTCCTCTCCACAGCCATCAAAGTGATAGGAGTTACATTCACTATCCGCGACACTGCTTGATTGAGAGGTCAACCGGATGTGTATCTGTGATGCCCGCCATATACAAATTGTTCACTATCCGGTAGTAACAGGTGGACCCGCTGCTGTCGCTGGGCATATTGCCCCTAACTCTACCAGATAGGCTCGTGTAGGTCACATTACACATACCTAGAAGGGAAAGAGGCACGGCTTTAAAAGTCAGGAATGAAACGCTAGCACTCGGAAAGATACACCACGATACACCACGATACACCACGATGGCGTTTCGCGGTCCCGGCATTGTTGGGTGGAGTACTAACCTGGAGTCACGTGGTGGGAACTGCGGGTGTAGTTTCCCCTCCCACGGCACCAGTGCTGGAAGTAGTTCACTTCCATTGCGTTGTCTGCTGTTCTTGCACAGGAAACGACGTCCCTTTAAAGACATACGTTAAACAGATCGAAGAAGTGTCGTTTATTTAAAAACGCAGATGTGTCCAAGACTGTGTATGCAATCGAGAGCATGTAATATTGCACCAAACGGTGAACTTCTTGTGCATAAATCAAAATTTCTCCTATCACCATATTATGCACGCACATTCTGGCTGTACCACGATGCATTGCGCTGGCCACAAGAGTCGATCCCCGTCCTGACTAGCATATTCACCAGCCAGTTGCACACACCGCAGGCGCGGGGATTACAGAGTAAACTGGATGGGGTTGAAGGTTGCTGCTGAAGGGGCGAAAGGCGTAAGGAATCAGCAGAGTACAGCTGACGTCTCGCCAGCGGTCCACGCGCCAGAGGGTTTGAAGTCGGAGATGATGCCCCTCTCCTCTGTGTAACTCCCCATTGGTTGACTGATTGACAGAGACAAATAAATATCATGAAAATAACGCAAATGAAAAACAAATAAAGAAGGCACTAATCAGATGCCAGTAAAATCAAATGCTAAAGAAAACTGCAATGAATGTAAATCTTCATGACCTCTGTCTTATTAGAGAGCAGTACTTACGTTTTTGCTCTTAAAGAAACGCAGTATTCCACAGAACAATGTATTTTCCACGTTTTTGTAAATGCTGCTGGTCTGTTTCTACTGACGTGTGAACACAAAGTATGATAATGCCAAATCATTAGATAATTATAAATGTATGATAATTATAAATGTATCAAAATACGTACACGGAAGAACGTTGTACTGCGGTCCCGAGGCTCTCGACAGAGTGTCTGATGCATCTGATCCGGAAGGTCGAGCTGAATTGTTGCCTGCTGCTGCATCTGATAAATATGGATCAAACACAATGAACTCAGTGCATCATGAACAAATGCTTTATTGGTGGTGACTATTAGTCAGTTGAGACATGGAGTCGACAATTGGACAACAATGACACTAAGAAATTTAAGAAGCTTTTCCGACTTAGTATTTATAATTTTAAATCAAGACAATTTGGTGCTTCCCCTCTTCCTACACAAACGGTTCTAATTACGAGTCTCAACATGGAGAAAATAAACACAACATGTAAAAAATCTCTGACGCCACTGTTGTTTCGATTCAGTGTTCCTTAAAATATCCATGGATTTTGTGATTAGGTACTTGTACTATGCTCAACACTAAGTAACTCACGTGACATATTCCTCTTAAGTCCCTATTACCGTTGTCCGTCGAGAATTCAAGGTAGTCGCTACTACAACCACTTGTGTAGTACGATTTCAAAATAAAATTGTAGAAAATGTTGCTGGAGTCGTTTACCGCCCATAAAGGTGTACGTGCACAACATGTTGTGTTGGTAGTAGTAATCATGCGTCATTTGGGACTCTCGTCACCTTGAATTCCCCGACGGACCCGGCGAGTATTGGGACTTTATGAGGAAATATCACGACATAATTAGTATATCACAAATCCATAGATACAGAGAACACTGAATCGAAAATTGACATCAGGCGATGGCTCGTTCTCATGTTGAACTATGATAGAGCTCGTTGTGTGGAAGAAGGAAGCACAGAACAATGGCGATTAAAACCATAACATATTAGTAAAAAAATGAGCTTTCTTAAGGTGTCATTGCTGACAGTATCGCCTAAGTCCAACTGACTAACTGACCAATAAGCATTTGTTCTGAAGTTCGACCGGCTATATTATCGAATGCGTGGTGGCGATTTGCTGTCCATCTTTTATCGCGACCAGCTCATGCATTTATAATTATCGCGTTATATTATCATACTTTATTCACGTGGCTTTGGCCTTTAACCTTGTTTTCATATCATGATATTTCTCTGATCGATCAACTATTCGAGAGACCACCGGAAATAAATCATTGTTACTCAGAGACACAACTGCAGTATTGGTGATTTTGTATAATGAGTAGAGGCGTGATTATGCAAGCCAGCTCGACTGATTAATACGTGCTCTCGATATTTTGATGTGAGCTTTGTCACGTTAAATATTGACACTTCGATAGATTTAACAGCCAGCTGTCTTGCTGACGTCGTTTCAGGCAACGAACGATTGAACACTAAACGCATGCGTGACTACTACCGCGACTTTCCAGATTACTCACCAATGCTGAATATGTTTATATCGTCGGTAATATCAAATTGTATCGTGACAATACGGTTTTGATCGTGCCTCTTCGAAGCTGGCGACCTACGGCTCTGGCAGAGTTAGCGGCAATAATCCGGCGACGAGTCACCTGATACCCACCGGATACAGGCTGCGTACATCTGTTTCTCAATCAGCGCAGTAATCTGGCGACCGATAACCATCGACGATATTGAGGAAAATGAAGCGTCGAAGCATTATGTACAAAGGTGGTATGGTTCGTGTACGGTAATAACACACATATCCAACAATATTTTGTTGGAGATTAAGTGTGGTTACTATGTGGTGTTAATGCGCTGTCGTTGGTTTAAATGAATCTGCGGTGTTCAATGGTTCTGTTCTGTGTGCTGTGCCGGAGTTCTTTGTTCATCTTGGTGTTCTGCTGTGTTGCGGATGACGATACGGATAGACCGACGTTTGTTTTGTTTTCGATTAGGATGCGGTGGTTGACGAGGGATAGGCGCTGAAGAGAATAATTCGGCTATAACATATGTTATGCCTCGATATGTATTTGATCTTTGAGCTTGATGTCGCAAAACGTAATGATGCGCTGTGATTCTATGACGCGCAATGAATGACGTACCGTGCGGTATCTCCGTCTTCGCCCGAGCAACTCTCATTGATCTTAATTCGTGGAAATACTGCATCATCTTACCAAGTGTTCTGCCCGGGAATGGGATTCCACTGTAACGGAAATAACCTTACATAAACTTACATGCTATGCTGAAAAGGCGTTCTAATATTGTAAACTGTACGAAATATTGCGTTAATCTTGATATCACGAGGAAATGAATTCGATCGTATTCTGATGTAGTACGTTTTCCACCGAACTATGATGGCATTAAACTTCTGCTGCGTACGACGGTTTTACAATACTTTGCCGGGTATGTATGATTTAACAATGATTCAATGAACAAATCAACTGATGTCGTAAAGGCTGTTGAAGGTAGTATTGTTACTACGCTTTCGAAGTCGGAACTCGATCGGGGTGATCGAACGGTGATGTGAATGGTTTAGTAATGAACACAGGCTGTGTTTCGATTGATGACAGCTGATGCGTGGAACAAAGTGATTCTGTTTTGATGTAGATGACGTAATATTTTCGAGGAAATAATCACCTATATTAACTTAAACTCTTTAACGGTATGATAATAAATTTTTCTAAATGTTGAGGGAAAGCGTCATGTCTTATGCAAATCTGATACTTTAGATCCCGAAGCTTTATGGAGATTCCGACGATCAACTAACGCTTCTACCTCGGTACTGATAATGAACTGGTAATGATTATTGTTGAAATAATATTCGAGGTACGAAGCATGATTGTTCAACGACGAACCATGTCTTCTTCCTTCAGCATGGTCGCTAATATCTGTCCAAGCTGGAGTAATTCTATTGCCCTTTCTAACCATGGTATGGTTTGATAGAAAAGTGCTGAAATTCATTGTCGGCGTATTCACGCTGTTATAGGGTTACATCACCCATTTCGAAATGTGATGCCCTCCAGGCGCTCAGTCGCGAATGTTGACCTGTTCATGAAACGACTTTGCTCGACTCGCGCAGGCATTTTCTGCTGATGACTATTATCTAACGCCTCGAAAGTGGCTGTGAAGGCTCTGTGCCGATCACGGGGTGAAAGTTAATCTGAACAAAACGAAATTGTGTGCAAATGACGGGGATACTCCGTTAACATGAGAAAATGGTTTTTTAAATGGTGAACAAATAGAAGTTGTGGTATGCGAATATCTTGAGTTATTCACCTGTCGTGGTCGGCAAATCTTGTTTGCTGGCTCCCGTAACAATACCATCTATAATTACCGAAACATTTTGGTGTGATGTCACGAGGGCTCCATGTTGGCTATGGATCGAACTGGTACGGGCATGTTGAAGCGTACTGTTACAGTTCCATGATTGGGCTTTCCATCGTAGTATACCAACGGCGGGCTCCGCTGCAATACTGAGTCGATAATGCTGGTGGTGTGCGGCGGCATCATGAACTTCCCTTATCGAGCCCGGTAACCAGTGGATGAATGGCGGGCGCAGCGTGGACGAATAGCAGGTGACGGGACAGACGTGGACAAAGATGACTTCAGCAACTTTCATCTGAAATGTGAAATGCGATTTAATCTTTTATGTCGAGCACTTACTGTCTGTGAACTCCTTCTGAAGAGGGGTTATGACATGTTCCGCTTTGTAGCTGGCTTTGGGTATTGGTTTTAAACTGAAGATGATTGTTCTACCGTACTGACGTCGTACGGCATGAGAACAATTGAGCACGACGTGGTCGCGGCGATAAATCGTGTACCCGCAGACATAAAATCCCGCTTTACTGGCTATGTTCATGCTGAAATAAATAACGTCTCTGCTTCGTATTTGTGATTTGGCTTACCAATGGTAATGTAACCGCTTTGTGTACTTTTCTTGGTTTTTGCGCCAGATCGTTATGGGGGAATTATCTTTGTTATCGTTATGATCGCGAAGAATGAACGTAATCTTTCATTGACTTGCACGGCAAACTGCGCCCCGGCTTTGGCGGACGCGGTTCTGGCAGTCCGGCGATTCGCGACGACGGCTTATGAACGACACGACCTGCGCTACAATCGATGACATTCACTCATCATCTGCTGTTCTTCAAAACTCTCACTCGGCATTTTACGATGCGATGCAGAAACACTCAAACCGCCAGATGCTGCGCAGAGACCTCCCTGGTCGACGAACAGTGGTCCCCACCTGGACTAACATTAATAATGTACAGGACGTCGAGTGTCAAAGTCTTTGATCGGTTACCTGATCATAACTGAAATCTTTGATGGAACCACCTGATCTACTCGGGAATAATGAATCTTTAGTGGTCCCACTTACCGGGCCTTAACATTACTGGAACATCACTTCGAACAAGTCTTTCCCCGCAGAACATAACGCATTGTCGCTCGAATTGAAGTCTTTAGTGGTCCCCGCCTGAACATGGCTTACATTGGCCGTGAATGCTCGGCTTTCACTCGAGTTAACCGGGGTCTTTGGTGATTTACCGGACATAACACGTGTAGTGCTCTGGGTCGCCACTTCGAATAATGAGATAACAGTGGTCCCACCTGAACTGTTTGTAACCGAATAGCGGACCATCGGAGGTGTAATCTTTAGTGGTCCCCACCGGGACTGTAACACATTGCGTATACGAAGGTAGTAGTCTTTATTGGTGCATACATTACTGTCACTCGAATATCTTTAGTGTTCCGCCGGGTTCATACATTGTGCTACTGGTCTCGCCATCGAGTAACAATGCCTGGTACATAACTTGCATTATACAGGTCTTCACGGAATAATGAAGTGTTGATGGTCCCGCCTGGGCATAACTTTACATTATTGGTATACGGGTGTAGGTGCTGCGGAACGCAGACCGATAATGAAAGTGCAGTGTTACCTGAACGCTCGCGTGAGTCTTTCGGCTTGTCCCCGCCTGTGAACATAACATTGAATATACGAATGCCTTCACGTGGAAATTGAGCATGGCTTTGTTACTGATATACGAGACCTCGTTGCTCACGTATTAGATCTTACATTGGCAGGCTATGGACATAAGTTTGCGCTTCGCGT